TTTTGGCCGGGGCTGGGTTTGAACCCGCCACCTCCGGCATATGGGGCTGGCACCCTACTTCTTTGAGCCACAGGCACTGCCTATTTTAATTTGTTTTTAGAGTGCTTTTTCCCTTATTGTGAACATTTGATCCTTACTTTTAGGTTTGCTATAAAATTTTATAACTTAAGAAACTTTTCCAAACCCCATGATTGCATTAATGTATACAGCTATGATTTAATTAAAAAAAAAAAGAAACTTTCCAAATGGATTGTGACAACTGTAATATATTAATTTAGAATGCTTTTCCTTATTTTCCTATTCCTTTATTTTAGAAGTTCATGAATGTTTGTATAATAGTACAGGGTTTGTCATTCATCCGGGTAATGTTATATAAGATTGATTAACCTAAAGAGCTCTGTACTATCACCATTAGGTAAAATGGGTTTAGCATGCAAATATTTCAATGTGCTCTATTTCAGAGCACTTACACAAACATCTTCAGGGATATATTTAGGAATTTTTTTCCCTCAAACATTGCTTGGAGACTTTACAGGAATATTTTTCTAGCCCTACCTGAGATGACCTACCTGTTAGTAATACTAGCTCACTCCAGCAATGAACTTCGTACTCCATAAATACTTGTTGAATTTTCAAATATATGGTTTTGGTAGTATAGAAGCGCCCTTTACCCACACCCATTTTATCATTAGAGTTCCTAGAAAAGTAATATCTTAGTCTTAGAAAATGGCAGTTGCTTTTCTATTCAAATTAACTAAGTCATATCACGTCATGTTTTTACTTGCCAGATATATCATCACTTAAAAATGAAAGAATTTCACAGATTAACCAATGACATACTGAGATTATCCATGGTTTTTCAAAGATACTTAGTATTTTAATTTCTAAGCCTAAAGGTTTTATGAATGATACAGCATTATGACCTACTTTAGAGGTTTTTAGTTGCAAATGACAATGCGAGTTGGTGCCCATCCTAGCTCTTGCTGAATATCTGTAACAATAGCACTTGCATTCACACCACTAGGCGGAATCACTACAGTCCTAGAACTAGTAGTATCTGTGAGGGGCAGGGAGAGCCAGTCCCGTCCTGCCCCCTACTGGAGTTAGAAGCTAAAGGAAGTAGAGCTTGGCCAGCAGCTCAGACTCCACCTCCACCCTTGGAGGGGAGCTCTTACTTGGCTACTGCTACTGAACCATGTGGCCTCCGTGATTTCCACCTGCCTCCCTTTCTCTCAGAACTCTGCTCTGAGGATTTCAGGTTGCAGCTAGATTTTCCCACATTTTATTTTCATGTTATCACAGGTAGCAAGGACTTTTTTGATTTATATGACATTATTTAAAAATCTATTAATAGGCTAATAAATTAATAAATGCATTTATCTTCTTAACCTAGTCATTTGCACCACTTAAGGCCATCACAAGGAATGCTCCATAGATAAAGTGAAGCATGCAACTCTTACCATTTTTGTAACAACAGTAGTAACAATGTTTCTTTTTATTTTTTTCCACAGGTTTATATATGCAGCAACAATATTCAGGCTCGACAACAAGTCATTGAACTTGCCCGTCAGTTGAATTTCACTCCCATTGACTTGGGATCCTTATCATCAGCCAGAGAGATTGAAAATTTACCCCTGCGATTATTTACTCTCTGGAGAGGGCCAGTGGTGGTAGCCATAAGCTTGGCTACCTTTTTCTTCCTATATTCCTTTGTCAGAGATGTGATCCATCCATATGCAAGAAACCAGCAGAGTGACTTTTACAAGATTCCTATTGAAATTGTGAACAAAACTTTGCCTATAGTTGCCATCACTTTGCTGTCCCTGGTGTACCTAGCAGGTCTCCTGGCGGCCGCTTATCAGCTTTATTACGGCACTAAGTATAGAAGATTCCCGCCTTGGTTGGAGACCTGGTTACAGTGTAGAAAACAGCTGGGATTACTAAGTTTTTTCTTTGCTGTGGTCCATGTTGCCTACAGCCTCTGCTTACCAATGAGAAGGTCAGAGAGATACTTGTTTCTCAACATGGCTTATCAGCAGGTACTGAACATGCTTGTTATTTATCTGACTCTAGTAAAATATTTTATCAGTATAAAGTGCACAGCATAAAATTACCATACCTTGTAATGAAAATCTACTTTTGGTATATTTAAGAAGAAAGAGGTATTGTTCTTCTAACAGTGTTGTTGCATAAGAATTGTGTGGATGGATGGTTCGGCGCCTGTGGCTCAAGTGGCTAAGACACCAGCCACATACACCTAAGGTGGTGGGTTCAAATCCAGCCCGGACCCACCAAACAACAATGACGGCTGCAACCAAAAAATAGCCGGGTGTTGTGGCAGGCACCTGTGGTCCCAGCTACTTGGGAGGCTGAGGCAGGAGACTCGCTTGAGCCCAGGAGTTGGAGGTTGCTGTGAGCTGTGAAGCCACGGCACTCTACCCAAGGGGATGCTTGAGGCTCTGTCTCAAAAAAAAGAATTGTGAGGATGATTCAAAATAATGTAGGGTAAAAACTGCTACCATCCCCTTCTTTGCAGAGTAAAAGCAGAGAAGTAGAGGGTGGGGGGTTTGCCTCCTTTCTTAACGTTACCATTGCAATGATTACTTTCAACATTGAATAATTAATTATTTTAATGCCTTAAAATTGACCATGCTCCAAAAGATGATGAGCCAACTCTCAGTAAATACTGTACATGCAATAGGACAGGACATGGTGCCTCATTCCTGTACTCTCAGCACTTTGGGAGGTCAAGGTGGGAGGATCACTTGAAGGCAGGAGTTTGAGACCAGCCTAAGCAATGCAGTGAAATTCCATCTCTACAGAAAACATAATTTTCTTGGGGGGAGGGTCAGGGCTGGATTTGAACCCACCACCTCTGGCATATAGAGCTGGCGCCCTACTCCTTTGAGCCACAGGCACCGCCCAAAAATTTTTTTTAAATTAGCCAGGTATGATGGTGTACACCTGTTGTCATATCTACTCAGAAGGCTGAGATAAGAGGATCACTTGAGCCCAGAAGTTTGAGGTTACTGTGAGCTGTGATTGTACCAGTATACTCTATCCTAAGTGACAGAGCAAGATTCTTAAAAAAATATATACACACAATAAAATTAGAACTAGCAAAAATATAAAACAGAACAAGAAGTCAAGAGCAGGAGAAAAAGTAGAATATACCTCTGCTGGCTAAGAATGTCTATACCACTTCTTTGGCTTTAAGATTCTGATACAGTGAAAAAGGAGATACTGTTACTTACAAGGCTCTTGTTATCAAAAGCAGAAAAAAATGTAGTTCCTCATGGGAAGCTTTTCTGGCACTTAGTTCTCCACAAAAAAAAAAAAAAAATCTCAGAGTGAGTTTCATGGAAGGAGCTTGATGATGAGGTAGACTATGATTTTCCTCATTAATTCCCAATCCAAAAATGTAATATAGGGAGTTTTACTGAAGCTGTTTAGTGTAGCATTTCTCAACAAAAGCCAAGGACGTTGCACCAAAACAAATATGTAAAAGCATTTGCATTTTATAAGGAGCCAAGGCATCATGGCCCAAGTATGTAGCTTCTAGTACTTAAGCTTATTTCCACAAACCTCAAATAATTTTCTGAAAATTAATAGATTGATGACCTTTAAGCCATTTACTTTCTAAAAAGACTCCTTTTCCTAACTGGACACTAAGGTTTTCATAGTTGCCCAAGCAGCTCCCCTGCCTCCTTGCAATCACTTGCTCACCTTTCTTGTGAGGTCTCTGTTGGACAGCATTTTAAATGCTGCTGCCTGCCTCTTACCAATCCCAGGACTCCCAGTCCCTCCAGCTTACCCTGCTCTACTTTTTTCTTTTTTCAGTAGCACTCATCATCTTCTAACACACTTGATATTTTTCTTGTTTAATATATTTACCATTGTCTGCCTTCCCCCATGAGAATGTGAGTTCACCAGAGGAAGGATCTTTGTTTGTATTGATCACTGATACATGCCCCAGACCTACAACAGTGCCTGGACATTCACATAGCACATTTGTGGTGTGAATGAATGGAAGGGCAGGTAGATCCAGGGCATAGTCCCTGGGCATGCTGTTATTCTGTACTGTTGCATGGACATCAAACAAGAAGACGTTAGTAAGAGCCTTTTTCAACAAAGGAGCTCTGTGGCTTCCTTTAGGGTATTTATATGGTTGCTTCAAGAAACTAATGACTACAAAGTAATTTTTTTTAAAAAATAAAATGTATTGTTATCTAGAACTGGACAAAGTCAAGCTAGTGTTAAGTTAGATTCTGTTTTCCATGACTAGATTATTACTTAAATCAAAACTTCAACTGAGCCAGGCACATGCCTATGGTTCCAGCTCCCTGGGAGGTTGAGGCAGGAGGATCGTGTGAGCCCAGGAGTTTAAGACCAACCTAAGCAACATAGCAAAACACTGACTCCAAAAAAATAAAAGCAACAAAACTTCAGCTGCAGGAGTCTAACCCTTTATTTATACTCTAATATTGTTGGTGTGTAAAATACCACAAGTTCAGGGTTGTCTGACTTGATTATATATGCATTACTAATGTCAGGAAAAGGCATTTGGAAAAATACTGTTTATAAATAAGGCAATTGGACAGTTGGAAAAGGATCCTGACAAAGCAACTCAAATAGCTAAATATTTGCTCTCCAAAGGGCTTTATCATTAGGGAAATCACGGCTTTCTGGGAAGAGAAGGTGAGAAGGAAGAAATAAGTCAGCACAGATACATTATTCATGTGATGGACAAGATTCAGAAGTAGTTTAGAAATTCTCTTACAGAGTGTACCCCAAATACTCAACCAAATGTAAATAAGCTTATAAAAGTACCTCAAAACTAAGTCTAACTGCCAATATCTTCTTTTGCATCACACTCAAACCACCACTCAGCATTTCATGATCTTGGACTCCAGAGTCCCTGTAATGATGATGCCCTGCAAATGTGATGATAGGTTTGCCCCTGTCTGCTTGCACATATGCAAAAAAGGAGAAAGTCTTAGCCTTCTGTTTTGTTTAACTCTCCCTTCCCTTCCCTCATACCTGGAACAGTCCCACCCAGGCGTAGGTTCTTTGTAATGGTTAAACTGAATTAATACAATTTAAATATGTTCATATATGACCGGAGTCTCCTTATGCCAAGAATGGACTCCGTGCCAAATCAGTTAATGTTCTACCAAATAAAGAGAATTCATATCTATTTTCTTGTTAGGTTCATGCAAATATTGAAAACTCGTGGAACGAGGAAGAAGTTTGGAGAATTGAAATGTATATCTCCTTTGGCATAATGAGCCTTGGCTTACTGTCTCTCCTGGCTGTCACCTCTATCCCTTCAGTGAGCAATGCATTAAACTGGAGAGAGTTCAGTTTTATTCAGGTATGTGGGTTGTTTATAAGGGATTGGGCAGCACAGAATTTCATTGTTAAGTGCAGTTGAGTCTTAAATATGCTCCTGATAAATCTGGGGGCTCTTTATGCATCTAGGAATTTATTGTTAGACGCACTCCTGTATTAAGTGAGAGTGGAATAGATGATTATACAGGAAGCCTTTGATAGCACTGCCTGCTACGTTAAGGATGAAGATTATTTTTAAAAGAAAAAAATTGAAAGTGGGGGATAAGTTAGCTTAGATCGAATTCAATGTCAAAAGCCAATTTATTGTTAACCAAATGAATACAAATTATTTTATGTTTTGAGTCATCCCAATCTGTCCAGAAAAATCTTATTAATTTGAATTCGAATGGGAGGTAATTCTGAATATTTTAAAGAAGTGTTTATGTTTACACACACATAAATGTACGTACTGGCAAACTAGGTAACTAGGTTAATGGATAACTAGCTATGAGCCTTACAGATCTTGTTAGTATATGTATTCATTATAGTATAGCTGTTTTATGCCAATGTATGTGTTTGTAAAGAGATTTCAAAGCACTGTGTTGTATAGTAAGTTAAACTTTCACTTTCTCTAATAATATCTAAATAAAAAATTTGCATATTGAAAAAATATACAACTCAAACTTAGACCCTACCTCTATCTTCACAAAACTTGCTCTACCTAATGGTTGACAGCACAATACACAGATTAGTGCATTTTTGCAGATTATTGCTACTGTAGTTGTACACTAAATTTTGTTTCATTTCTTCACCTATTTGTTTAAGTCTATTTCTTTAGGTAATATAAAAATCTCACTAAAATTAAAGACATAACATTTATCTAAATTCATTTTCCCTTTTTGAAGATAAGGGAATGTGAAGTACTTTCCCACTAGCTAGTTGAATTAGACTTCAGAAGAAATAGAAGGCCCTCTTGTAAGAGGTCCTAGACAGTGCAAATTATCATCATAAATTTAGATGAATAATTGCAAACATTTTCCCTGCTAAAGAGTTGACATTTTCCCAGTGAGGTTAGACATGACATCATTTTACTGATGTAATATTGTTTTATGTAACATGAAACAGTTCTCAAAGTAAGCAGTATTAAATGTTAGGGAACCAAAGAATGCTGACCCTTTAGAATTTAACCTGTAAACTGCCTAACTGAAGTACCCTTCATAAAGCCATAAAGCTACTTATATTACATATTAACATTATAGGCTTTTTCATATTTACCTATTAACTAGTGTGTATATATGAATGTCCGTGAGAACACTCTTTAGCATTTAATTTTATCATATATGTATTCATGTATATACAGTCATGCATCAGTTAATAATAGGGATGCATTCTGAGAGAGGCAATGTTAGGCAGTTTCTTCATGTGAACACTGTACATTGTACTTACACAAACCACAGCTTAATTCCTCCTAGGCTACATACCTGCACCCCACATTGCTGTACTGAATACTGTTGGAAATTGTGACACAGTGGTAAATATTTGTGTTTCCAAACATATCTAAACATAGAAAAGGTACAGTAAAAATATGATATTATAATCCTATAAACCAATGTTGCATAATCTTGATATTGATCAACATGTCATTATATAGCACATGACTGTATTTATGAGTATACATGCACACACACTTTTTTTTAATACACAACTGGTGGGAATGTGGACAACCTTTACAAAGAAGACTTTACTTGCAGGTACATGTATGGATAGAACTAGACAGAGGCCATTATCTTAAATGAAAAACCAGAAAGTCAAATACAGTATGTATTTGGCTCATCTGCATGCATTATTCACTTATAAGTGGGAGCTAAATAATGTGTACCTATGGACATGAGTATGAAAAAATAGTCACTGGAGACTTGGAAGAGTAGGAGGGGCTGAGGAATGAGAAATTATTTAATAAATACAATGTATACTATTCAGGTGATGGTTACACTTGAAGCCCAGACTTCAGCACTATGCAATATAACCATCTAACAAAACTGCACTTGTAACCCTTAAGTTTGTATTTATTTTTAAAAGAAGCAGCATTTACCAGTCTATATCAGCACCTATAAGGAAAAGGTAGATGTCTTGACCAGTGATCCTGTTAGAAATCAGTCCTAAGGAAATAAACCAAAATACAGAAAAGGGCCTAAGGACACATTTATAGTTGAGGAAAGTTGGAAGTTAAGTAAATTATCAACAAAAAGCAGTGTTCAATAAATTATTCACATCCATTCAATAGAATATTATAAAGTGTTAATGTCATTTTCATATTCAATGTCATGAGAAAACTACTTTTTTATTTAACATATAATAATTGTACTTATTTATAGGGTACATACATAGTGATCAGAGCAGAGTAGCACATCCTTCATGTTGAACATTCATCATTTCTTTGTGTTGGGAACATTCAATATCCTCCTTCTAGTTTTTTGAAACTACATATTATTGCTAAGTATAGTCATAGATACCACTCTTCGGATAGTGCGGAGGAACACTAGAAGTTATTTCTCCTATCTAACTGTAATTTTGCAGACTTAAAAAATCTCTCCTGATTCTCCTTTCCCCATTCCCTTCCTGGCCTTTCGAATACTTCGTTGTACTTCTTACTTTGATGAGATCTTTTTTTTCTTTTGAGACAGGGTCACTGTCACCCTGGGTAGAATGTCTTGGCATCATAGGTCACAGCAACTTCAAACTCTTGGGCTCAAGCCATCCTCTTATCTCAGCTTCTCAAGTAGCTGGGACAATAGGCCCATGCCACAAAGCCAGGCTAGCTTTTCTATTTTTAGTAGAGATGGGGTCTCACTCTTGGTCAGGCTGGTCTCAAACTCCTGAGCCCAAACAATCCACCCACCTCCCAAAGTGCTAGGATTACAGGTGTGAGCCACCAAGCCCAGCTGAGAGCAACTTTTTTTTTAGCTTTCACAATGAATAAAACATGTAGTATTTAACTTTCTGTTCCTGTCTTATTTCACTTAACACAATGTCCTCCATTTCAATCCATGTGGCCTCAGGTGACATGATTTCATTCTTTTTTATTGCTGAATAGTATCCCATTGTCTTTCTTGATATAATTAATGCAAGAATCAGAGTACTAAGCTGTATTCAATATGGCCTTATTTATATCAATATAAACATAAGGTATGTATGTAAGTAAATAACTATATATGTATCTATGAAAATGTTAAACATTGTTAATTTGGTAGAGGACAAAGACTAGCCTGATAATATAAGACAAAATAGTTTTATCAAAATATAACCATGGTGACTGCTGAGTGAGCGGTCAGTAAACACACACACCCAAGCGTGTCCATATAGACATAGGAGCTGGATGAGTTAATTTATGAATTTATATTGTTTGTTTCTTTTTCTTCCTTCTCTACCCCAAGTCTACACTGGGATATGTCGCTCTGCTCATAAGTACTTTCCATGTTTTGATTTTTGGATGGAAACGAGCTTTTGAAGAGGAGTACTACAGATTTTATACACCACCCAACTTTGTGCTTGCTCTTGTTTTGCCCTCAATTGTAATTCTGGGTAAGATCATTTTGCTCCTTCCATGTGTAAGCCGAAAGCTAAAACGAATCAAAAAAGGCTGGGAAAAGAGCCAATTTCTAGAAGAAGTTATTGGAGGAACGATTCCTCATCTCTCCCCAGAGAGGGTCACGGTCATGTGATGTGAAGTGGTGCTCACAGCTGCCATCTAAAGTTCTACTCATGCCATTATTTTTACCACTTCCTCTGTGTTTGGTTGCAAGTGTGCTGTCCAATTCCTGTGGGTGGAAACTTGTTAAATGAAATTTCAACAGAATTAGTAATAAAACATTCTTCAAGTTAATTTTCACAAATGTCATGTTTTGACAATATGATTTATGTAGTCAACATACTATTGAAAGTTGGGAATTTTTTGTTTTGTTTTGCACAACTGTAACAGTATTATTATTTTAACAACATTTCATAATCAGGAAAAAATAATAGTTAATAATATAGATATAATGTTAAAGACAATTTGCAAACCAGCAGAAATTTAAGCTTTTAAAGTAATTCAGTAGATATACTTTTTATCCTGAAACTTAAGTAAGGTTTTAGTTATTATCCAACTTAAGAAATAGAAATGCATAATCACACATTGTTTTCAAGAAAGGACACATTCATTAGCATCTAGGTAAGGGTGCATGGTAACGTCCCCATATTTGTCTCATAAATAGGGTTTGAGGAATGTAATTAATTGTACAAAGTAAGGTGATTATGTGAACAAATACAAATTTAAAAGTCAAATTAAACCTGAAATTATGTTTAAAATACATTGAAGACATCAAATACATATTGATAATGCAAATGAAATTTTATTTTTTATCACATTACAAAACAGCTTCATTTTCATATTACTATTTGGACAAGGGAGAGGTAATATTTAGCCTCTAAAACTGCTATCTCTAATATAGTACCAATCCTGGGAATTGTATAATTATTCCTAGCTGGAGCAAAAGTATCAAGTTTATACACAGATAGTTGTCAGCTGATCTCTCTCATTAAGCTTACCCAGTGACTTCTCTCTGTGGTATGGGATTTTACTGATGTTCATTGAGAGATTATAAGGTGCCAGGCATGGCTCTAAGTACTTTACTCGCTAGATAGTTTTCGTGTTCATTTTACATCTGACAGACTGAAGGCTAGAAAAGTAATTTGCCCCAATTCACACGGTTAATAGTGGCAGAGTGAGTGTTTAAGTCCTGGTAGTATTATTCCAGAGCCCATGGTTTTAACCATTAGGCAATACAGTTCCTGCTCCATCTCCATCCATTAGGTTCATGATGACAGCCTGGATGCTGCTTCTTTTGTATAAAGGCACTGACATTCTTTAGAGTGGGATGTATGTATCCAAAAGATGTATGCTACTTACCCTGTTCGAACCTGGAACATGAGCCTGGACACACATGGCAGTCCATATGCCTTCCTGTGCAGTGACAGACTCAAGCAGAAAGAGGACCAGAGCAGTGTTAATGAATTTTTTTTTTTAATTTCTGTAGAGCTGGTCATCTCCTTGTCTCTTCCTGCCTACACAAGCATTCACTCCAGAGCAGTTTACAAGCATACAGTATATTAGGATAAGGGGCTGATTATAAATCTATTCTGGAGACATACAGTTATACAGATTACTCATAAAATTTTTCATTGCTGGCATTCCACATTTAAATTGCATTTTGTTCAAACCTTAGTTAGAGCGGCCTACATACGTCCCATTTGCTCTTTTCTTATTGAAATAGAAAGTTGCAGACAAGATACAATTCTATGCATTCCTCTCCTTAAACATTTCTAAACTTACCCACTGAGGTAGTACTGAATTTAGCTGCTGAAAATAAATAGGCTTTTATTTAGTGGACGCTGCTTTCCCACCAATGGCTCTTTTCCTACTACTGCCTTGTCAGTTTGGTAAATCACTCGTGATTCTCCATTGTTCTCGTCTTGGTGAATTTTTGTCTGTTATACTTTCTCATTGAGCTCTCCATTTTCTTTATTTTAATTATATTTCTCCCCTCTTGGTAATCACTTGTTAATTTTTCATAGGATTTCAGTAGAGTGATAATAACTTGTAAAAGTAAATACCTAAGCATACTAGTATAATGAACTAGTGAAAATAACAGCATATTTTTGATATTTTCTTGTTCCTTAATTTTCCCTTTCCTAAGACCATGCTTCAGCCATTTAATGTGAAACTATGAAATATTTCTAAAAGTTAGATGACTGTTGAAGTATATATTTTGCACATGTATATTAAGTAGCCAGTAATATAAATAAAATTATCACTATGACTGATAGTGATAAATGGGGCCTTTGAAAATATGAAAAACAAACTTTTATGAAAATGTATAAAAGATGGCAACTGTTGTTTCAAATGGCAACATCTCTTTTCAGTACTATAATGGAATAATGTCGACATTTTAGAATAAATATAATACATTCATTATAATTCTACGTGTTTAAAAGCCTTTCTAAAATGCAAAACTATTGACTTTTAATTGGTTTATTTTCGCATGTGATTCTTTTTCTGTATTATCATTCTTCATAATTATTTTTCTGACTTTTGGCCTCAGACGTAGGACTGAATTCTGCAATTGCTAGATGTGAGAAAGTGGTGATGGGAACTTTTCAACAGTAGAAATTTGTTTCTTGGTCTGTGTTTTCAGAAGTGCCCCTAAGAAAATTGTAAGAATGTAGAACGCATACACGGTCATAATCCTATGCAAAAAAAAAGTCAAGTAATTTTTTTTCCTGTAAGGGAAAACACCATGAGCTGTATCATGCTACTTAGCTGTTGTGTACAGATTTCATATGTCTCCTCTCTTAAGAATATTTAAAATCACATTTAAATATGAATATATTCATGCTAACATTATTTTTCAAAATATATGTGGAAATTTAGCCCAGATTGTCTACATGTGAGATTTTAATTTAAATTTTAAAATATTTAAAAGTATGAATAAATTATATTTGTAGGTATTTATCAGAGATAATTATTTTGTGCTACATACAGGATTGGCTAATGAGAGCTAGTGTTAAACTACTTGATTAATTTCTTATAAATCAACATAACCTTGGCTTAAGGCATTTTACTTTCAAAATTAATTTGATAATAACTTAAGGTATATTCATACTTATGCTACATTTAAATTATAGAAATCATTTGTGTAAAAGGGCTTCAAAAGTACATCATATCCAATTTATTATTTACGTCTTATGTGATATGATAAAACCTTAATTATTTTTAATTGCCATATGCCATTAAGCTATTTCATAATAAATTCTATATAGAGATTTCTCCCCAAAATAGGTTTATTTATGATACTTAAAGTTTCTTATGTGATATTTTAAAGTGCCATAAATGTAATTCATAAATATTTCTCTAGGAATACTATACCACTGAACTTAATTATACCTGCCTATAAAAATCTTATTTTGAAATAAGTAAACAACCTAAAATACTGTATTGAAATTATTTTGTAAATTCATGACTTAAAGCAGTGCACACACCTCAGTCCAGTGTCAAAATTTATATTTGTGATGTGTCATCATGAAAATGAAATGTTTCACTCTCAATTATCCATCAGTCAGTAAAACAAATGAAACTGGAATAATTTTAGTGGAAGCACAATCTGTTCTTTAAGCAGTGAATTTTACAAGAATGAATAGATTCTTTGATTTTTTAGTGTGAGGAAACTATAAAGTGCTTAATTCTCACGTACGCTGTTCATGATCTAAAAACTGTTTTGTCAGTTTAACACACATATATACTGAGTTTCTTTTTTAACTTTCCAAACCATTTAATTTCCATCGCGCCTTTATCCAGAATTACAGCAGAGTGTATGGATTCTCCTAGGGGCTAAATTAAATCACAGAATGCTTTTGTGTGGTCTTCACATTTTCCAACTTTAAAAAAGAATTCTCTGGAGATTTTCTTTAAAGGTAGCTTGCAGATATCCAGCCTGAACAGGGAGTGGAAGTTGTCTGCCAGAGTCTATCTCCCCTACTTCTTTAAAAACTACTGCCCATCAGATTCCTCAACTGTCCTTGCAATAAGGCATACAAGTGTCTGAGTGGGGGCCTATGAGAGGGTCTCCTCAAAGACGAGCAGGATGTGTTCATAATCCTCCCTTCATCTCGCTGCTGGGATTGTGGATATACACTGGGTATACGGGATCCCTGACAGTTGTCTGCAGAGGATCAAGGCCATTACCCTAATGAAGGCAGATTAGAAGACCTTGACTACTTCTTTACTTCAACTGCTTTTTCCAGCATTTAAGCCATTGTAAATTTGGCTTTCTTTGTTACATGAAGTAAAAACTAATCCTTTTTGGCCTTCCGTTCTTTGCCATGATACCATTTAACAGTGTTGAATAAAATAGACTGCAATAATTCTTACCTTTGAAAGCTTTTAAAGGATAATGCGCACTTGATTTTCCATTGTTGATTAATTATACTCATTTTCTTGCCTTGATTCTTCATTAGATATTTTGTATCTGCTTGGAATATATTGTCTTCTTTATACCTGTGTAACTGAAATTTACCAAAACTCTGTAAATCTCCAAAATGCCATATCAAATTATATGCCATAGTTTTGTATCATTCTCATAGATCTGCCTTATAAACATTTAAATAAAAAAGTACTATTTGATGTTTTAACTTCTCTTGTGATGTTGTCTACAAATGGATTTTTTTTTCCTTCCTGAATAACAATTTCAGTTAGTTGAGGGAGGCCAACTAATACTTTTCAGAGTATTTCTTTTTAGAACCATCCAGAAAGCAATACACATGATAGTCTTGTTTTGGAGGGGTTTTGTTTTTCTGTCTTTTACCAAAGTAGTCATTTAGAAAAACCTTCATTTAATGTGTTGGCATTCTTAAAATGATTTCATTTTATTAGTATTCATTAAGCATCTTTAAATCAGGAGACAACAATATAGCTATTTTGTAAGCTCCCTGTTAGCAGGAATTTTGTGTATAGTACAGTATGGTCTAGGCAGGCATCCTCAAACTACGGGCCATATGCGGCCCACCAAGGACATTATCCGGCCCGCTAGGTGTTTTTGCCACCACTGCCTGTCCTGCTTAGCAGCCAATTCATCCCAGGGCCCACAGTCTGCCCCTCCAACGTCTGAGGGACAGTGAACTGGCCCCCTGTTTAAAAAGTTTGAGGACCCCTGGTCTAGGGTAAATACTAAAGAGGTATCATAGTGAATCATGACTCATTTTTATAGGAAATTGTGTTTTTATCACCAACATCCATGCAGCCATGCCTAATTCCTCCTGCCTCTTCCTAACAGCCCTCCCATCACTGCCCCACCTCTAGCCTTCCTCCCTCCAGTTGCCTGGAGCTGCCCTGTAGTCCTAGAAAGAAGCCACTGCTGCTGTCACTGCCACCACACTGCTGTATGTTGAGGAGTCCTATGCGCTGACCAGTAACAAGGAGAAACCAGCCTTGGGCCTGTGCATAGCATCTGTGGAAGCTCTGGCCTCCCCAGCTGCTGCCTAGAAATGCATAAGTGCTCATATCCTGAGAGTAGGATTACCAGGTAAAATACAAGCCTCTCAATTACATTTGCATTATAGACAAACAACAAATAGCTTTTTATTAGAAGTAGGGAACCTTTTGGGGGAGCTAACCCTCGCAACCCTGCTTAAGGAGTGAATTTTAACCAAGGAGATACAGCAACAAGATGTAGCTAGTAGATAAACTCTCCCTTCCTTTCACCCAGATGGGCTGTTCCAAAGTGTAATAATTCCTAAGACCTTCATAGAAATATCCTCAAAGATCAAGCAATTAACTGCTCTTAATCCAAAGCCATCCCCAGTTCAGTACCATCTACCTTTATGCTCCCTTCTCTCCTGCCTCACTTCCATTTTTTCTTCCTTCTGCTTCCCAGAGATAGCACTGCCCTATGAAGTGGCAGCAGGTGAGTATTGGTTGCTGTGCGTTTGTGGCAGCCTGAGGAACCTAGGCTAGCACAGTACTTTTGGCAGTGGATTCTTCAGATGGAAAGTCATACATGACATAAATGATGATTTTGACAAAGTCAGGCACTGGGGCCTGCAGGTTCAAAATCCAAATTTGTTGAAACCCCTGAGAGTGGATACATTCCTCAGGGACAGATTCACCTTGATCAAATGTACAGTGATAGAACATTAAATCAGAATAGTAATTTATCACTACTGTGAAAACTATCAATGTCCTATAGGCAAGAATGCCATTATTGCCTTAGCTAAATATATTCTATTACTGAATCTGTTGTTTGTAAGAATTCATATCATAATCCAAAGGATATCAGTAGCTATTACGGGCTGTATTGTGACCCTCCAAAATTCATGTGGCAAAATCCTAACCCCCCACTACATCAGAATGTGATTTTATTTGGAGGTAGTGCCTTTAAAGAAGTAGCTAAGGTAAAATTAGGTCATATCATTGAGCCCTAACCCAACACATAACTGGTGTTGGGCAATGCCTGTGGCTCAAAGGAGTAAGGTGCTGGCCCCATATACCAGAGGTGATGGGTTCAAACCCAGCTCTGGCCAAAAACTGCAAAAAAAAAAAACAAAAACAAAAACAAAAACATGACCAGTGTCCTTACTAGAAAAGGAAATCAGGTTACAGTCAGGCACAGAGGGATGACCCTATGAAGAGAAAGGGAGTCAGTCGATGGCAAGCCTGCCAACACCTTATCTTGGACTTCTCGCTCTGGAACTATAAGGACATACATTTCCATCGTTTAAGCCACCCAATCTGTGTTATTTGTTATTGCAGCCCTCGAAAACTAATACAGGATCCATGGAATAAGAACAAGTTGAGTTAGTTATAGAACTTGAATAATTAATAGTATTGGATAAACGTGTCTGATTAATCCTGTCCCACAATAAAAATAGTTTTATCCTGGGGTTACTTCACTGTAACCTCCCACCTATAAACGCAATAAGTAGTTCTAAAATCTCAGGAACATTTTTATTTCATGGACATACTCCTATTGGAATGAAGTTTTGATTGGGCCTAAGAAGCTCTTAAAAAATTCTTCATTTATTACCATTTATTTAGTTTTCCACTAAACGTGAATAATAGTTCCTGTGGCTTCCGATTTAAAAATCACTTGCACTTTGGATTACCGTTAGTACTTTTAGTTAGAATGGTTGACTTCAGGATTGGCTGTTCTTTTACTTTCATTTTCTGTTCTCTGTACTTCTTATTCCCAAATTTGCACTAATGATTTTATTGGAAAGAGGTAAATTACTTTGGTTTTGTTTTTAGGCTTTGCTTCTGTACTGTGAATTTGAAAGAGTTTTTAAAATATGGAGGTATATTAAATCCAGTTTTTATACATTTGTTACAAGCCAACCTACTAAACCTATAATTAGATTTTATGAGTTTTAAAGTTCTCAATTCAAAA